CAGAGTCCACTGTGTTTTTTCCTGATGCTGATGACTTCACCAGGATTAACTTTTCCTTTGAAACTTTAATTTCTCACCTCTGCATGCCTCTGCATCTTTTTGCTCTTTTGCTTCCACCCAGATTAGCAGGCAGGAGATTTCCAATGTTCAATTTGAAAGCGTTTCACTAATGTACATAAAGATATGAAATGCAACATAATCAGTCCTGTCTTCTGGTTTTGCCTTAGCTGTCTCTGGACCTCTACCACACAGAAGACGATATTTATAAACTGTCACTGGTGCTGGAGCCTAGAAATTCCAAATCGGTACGTACTGTTTTTTTTTTCTCAGTGCTAAACTTCTCTTTTTGTCACTTATTGTCATTGACCACTTCGATGGTGTTTTGTATTCTAAAGACTGAAGAGCTTTGAAGATCTGTATTATTCCCATTTGACCAATGGGCCAACTTCTCCCCAAAAGGATTATTTCTCACATCATATGTTAAGGAGGAGGAAAAATAGCGTCCTCGTGCTGTTTTATTATTGATCTTTATCTTTTGTATCCAAGAGTTCATCTACACAAAGGATGAGAGAGAGAGAGAGAGAGAGAGAGAGAGAATAAAAATGAGAAAAGAAATAATGTTATCTTACTGTTTATGATCTTGTCTTAGGTAGGGTTTCTGTCCAGATCCCTTATACTCTTCTGGGTTTTTTTATAGATAGATAGATAGATAGATAGATAGATAGATAGATAGATAGGTTCTCAAGATGATTTTGTGATTAAGAGCACTTGCTGATCCTGCAGAGGACCAGGTTCAGTTTCCAGCAGCCACATGGCAGCTCACAAGCACCTGTAACTGCAGTTCTAGGGGCTTTGATGCCTTCTTTTCATCTCCACACATGGAACACATTCATGTCTGCAGATCCAAACACTCATTCACAGAAATAAAAAATAAAGAAACAAATCAACCAAAGAAAAACATCAGTAGGAACAGCACAAAAACACCCTCATTCCCCATGGAAGTGGTTTAACCAAATTTTAATGTCTCAAAAGTTCTGTGACCGAGAGTGATTGAAGATGACACCTATTGTTGGCCTCAAGAATTCACATACACATGCAATGCATATGTGCACATATATATGCCCACATATTTATATACACAGAGTCATGGTATGTGAAGAGAAGGATGTACTCTGTGAGATTACATGTGTGTGCACTGCTCTTTCTAGATTGTATAACGTTGTTGGTCTTGCTAATAACCCACCAGTAGCACCCACCTCAACATTCCTTGAGGTTAAAATGTGTTATGGTTCCTCCTGAAAAAAATGTATCCCCAGTTTATATTAAATAAAGAGCTTCCTAGGACAGGTTTGCCTGTGTAGACCAGTGAAACACTGCCGCCACATGAAAGTCCCTGAGAGGAAAGTACATAAACCACACAGCGGCCTTAGCTGGGTTTGCAATTGGATTGTATCTCCTGCATGCGTTATGCATTATTGCTGCCACATTCCCCATGTAGATAAACCTACTGGAAAAGCCTGTGGAGAGGTCGGTAGCTCCAGAGAGGACAGAGAGAACCAAATATTCACAGAATAGTCAGAAGTAATGAGCATATTAAACAAAGGAATTGGGAGAAAGAACAGGAACTTGGCCACATGTTGGTTACTAGTTGTTGTATACATTCAATGCAGATTTATCAGGAATAAAAACTATTTCAAAATAGATAACATTAGATAACTTTTAGTTTTGAGACAGTGTCTTGCTTTAAACCCCAGGCTGGCCTCAAACTCCTGCCAATCTTCTTTCTTTTTTTTTTTTGTTTTTTGTTTTTTGTTTTATTTTCTTTTGTTTTTTGTTTTTTTCAAGACAAGGTTTCTCTGTATAGCCCTGGCTGTCCTGGAACTCACTCTGTAGACCAGGCTGGCCTCGAACTCAGAAATTCGCCTGCCTCTGCCTCTGCCTCCCAAGTGCTGGGATTAAAGGTGTGTGCCACCACCACCCGGCGTGTCTCAATCTTCTAAGTGCTGGAATTTTAGGTATATTCCACCAAAGTCAATAACTTGATAACTGTAATATCTCTCTCTCTCTCTCTCTCTCTCTCTCTCTCTCTCTCTCTCTCTCTGTGTGTCTGTGTGTGTGTGTGTGTGAAAGTCCATGGTGCAATAGGAATGATTTGGTGATTTCTATAGTTAGAGAATTTAGATGAATTATTTGGGTGGTCCAGGAGTACATTTTTATACCTATTTAGAAGAATAGAATGTAGGCTACTACTAAACAAAGTGCACTATTAAAATATGTCCTTATCCATGTGTGTTGGTGCACACCTAGAACACTCACACTCAGAGGCTAAGACAATGGAATCATATGCTCCAGGGATACATAGCAAGGGATTTTGTCTCAAAAAGCCCAGACTAAGGTAAAACACGGTTTTGTTTACTGATTAGACTCTATTAACAAAAGATGTTGGCTTATAAACATGTGAAGCTGAGTATGTGGCCTGAGGGGACAAAAGCAAAACAGTGTGTTCAAGTTCAAGACCAACCTGATCTAGTTTCACACCTACTGGGGAAACATAGGGAGACTCTATCTCAAGTGAAACAACAATGACAACAGCAAAACATTTAGGTCTTTACTGATGTTCATATATTAAATTTTCTCTCTTGGTGGATAAAGGTCCAGTTAATATTAACAACTGTGTGTGTGTTCATTTAGCAGCCAACCTCCCCCACAACACCTAATAAACCTGTGGTACCCCTGGAGTGGGCTTCAGAAGTGGTACCAAAGCCAGACCCCACAATCATCAACAAACACATAAGGAAGTTGGTTGAGGTAAGTAATTGAATGAGAATAATTGGAGAATTCTAGAAAACACCTTTTTTCTTTTCTTAATATTCTATGATTGTTCAGAAATCAGATGGCATCCATGAAAACAGATCTTGGTAAAATAGAATCAATTGAACTTGAATGTCAATTGATAAGCAATTGACACTTCTTGCTTCCTGGATTGGCCCTAAGGGAAGAATTTACCAGAAAGGACCTTTATCTCTCTTGGCTGTGTCTTCTTAGTTACCCAAGTGTTCTCAGCTTCTTCCAGCCCCCCTCTTGAGCATTTGCCACCTCTGTCACTGCCCTCAGCTTGAAGGACTTTGGGAATAAAAATTATTCTTGTATTTACCCGTAAGAATTACTCATGAAAACCCACCACAGATAAAGTGCTCACTTCAGAGCAGGGAAACATCCCCTAAGCTGCTTTGTTTCACCTGCTGTATATTATGAGGGCTTATGACACAGCCACACAGTGCCACTGATGTCTGAAAAGTCACTCAATCTAAGTCAGGGTTCTTTCAGAGTTCTCCCTGTAGAAAACAAAAACAGACTTGGGTGTGGTGGTGCAACTGTGTAATCCGAAGCCTTGGATGGCTGGGGCAGGAGGATGGTGAGATCCTGGCTGAAAGGACTGGGTGGTGGGGAGGCACATAGAAGAGAAGAAGCAGAAAAGCTGAGGAAAAAATGGAAATGTCTCTGTCACTGGTGACTGTGACCCTGGGTAAACCCCTGCTTTCGTCGACTGCTTCAGTGTGGATTACTAAAAGGTTGTATTATGAGCTAGAATATCTCTGAGATAGATAGTGCTTTTGCTGGAAAAGAATCTTTAAGAAGGCTAAGAATGTTCTTTGTCTTAGAGAACCCACGGATTTTGTAATTGTTGAGAGAAGTTTTATGGTGTATGTGTGGGGCAGAAAGGCATAGTTAAAAGGCATAGCATGGAAAGCCAGTGTACTAATGCATAGCTGTCATCCCAGGAATGGAACACGGGGTGGAAAAGTTTGAGGCAACCAGAGCTACACAACAGGAGCCTATCTCAAAAAATAAGTTAGCTGAGTGCTAGAAAGATTGCTGAGGTTAAAAGGACTCCCTGATCTTCTGCGGGGCCTGAATTTGATTCCTAGCACCCACATTGGCTTACTAACAACCAACCATAATTCCAGCAGTGGGACCCAAGCCCACTCTGGTTTTGTGGGCACCCGAATGCACGTGCATGAACACATACACACAGACACACATACAGTTTAGAAATAAACATTAAGCAAGCAAGCAAACAGAAAACGCAAGTCAGCCAACAACCACCACAAAGGTGATGTGAAAGAAACTTTTGCTAAGGAAAAGGGCTGAGAAGATAATATGGTCCAGGGCAAAGATGAACAGAGTTCAGGGCCAAATGGACACGAGGAAGGCTTTGTATACTTTTATTTGAACTTTAGAATTTATTTGTTTGATACTCTGACTCCAGACAATGAAAGATAGAGAGCTTTCGCCTTCTCCCTCTCCTCCTCATCTCCCCTT